GTGTATTGGCCCTTGTGTTCAGGCCACTTGAACTTTGAAACGAGGCTTTCATTGGGCCCTTTTATGTTTTTAACTGTCTTTCTAATAAATACATGTATTTTTGTATATTATAGGTTTCAACTAGGCTTTTAATATTGGCCCTTTATCAGACTTCTTTCTTACCCTTGTGGCTCTCAATTCCAGTTTTTGGGTCAAGTTTGTTTTTCCCTCCCTGTGCCTTCCTTCCGAGCAAAATACCAAAAGGAATCATTTTTAGAATAAATTAAGTAAAACTGTCAAATTTAAACCTAGTGCACTGTGCAGCATTTTGGTATTAAGGGCCGAATGCACATAGTTCTGGTCTTGAACAGACAGAGGCTGGTGCTGTAGAAAAACAGCGCACAGGATTTTGTTGTATCGTCGCAATCCACCCTAGGCTTTGTTGGAAAGGAGTTTTAAGTTTGGTGTGATTTCTTTCTAACGAGACGCAAATAGGATCCGGAGCGTAAATGAGGCTGGCAGGCTGCGGCGCCCACGACCCCCTGCATGTGAATCTGTCCCACCCGTTTACGCACATAGGATCAGAGCTTCCCGTGCGCCCCGGCCAGGCGCTCAAACCGCTTTTTCCCAGCCATGCGCCCTGTCCCGCCGCAGCCCATTGAATTGAGCAAGCAATCGCTTGGCTGAGGCGAAGGGGGCTGGGTGGGCTGCTGGCGGTGCCTCTTGTCAGCAGCCAGTGGAGGCGGGCAGCCTTCCCGTCCGCCCGTCCTCTCGGCCGGATGACTGACAGCGCCGGGGGGGAAGCCCCCTTCCTTCTCCCTGCTGCGCAACTTTGGAGCTCCTCTCCAGGGCGCGCGTCTCGGCGGCGACCGGACCGGCGTACGTCTTTCTTCCAAGGCCCGGAGCCTGGGGCGGCGGCGGCGGCAGGTACGCAGTCGGGAAGGGCCGCGGGGTGGCCTCGGGCCCCGCGTGGAGCGCCAGTTCCCACGCCGCGCGGAGTGCGGTAATCCGAGCCATATCTGGGCAAAGCATTCCGCGGCCACCAAAGGGGACCGGCCCGGGTGAGCGCGGTGGCGACGCGCCTATAAATAGCTACCGCTTCCTCCTCTGCTGGCTGTAGTTGGGGGGTGTGAGAAGCGCGGGCGGCGGGGTTGGGCTGGCGGTTGGCGATCCCTCCCCTCTCCCCTTGCCTCGAAGCACGTACTGCGGGGGGTTGGGTGCTGGTGGCGCTTTTGGCAGCGTTCGCAAGTAGAAGCGCCTAGGTGTGCCAGCTTTCAGGTGGGACCTGGGGATCCCCCGGAATGACGGCTCATCTCCAGACTACAAGAGATCAGTTCCCATAGAGAAAATAGGTGCTTTGGCGGGTGGGTTGGATGGCCTTGCACCCTACTGAGGTCCCTGTCCCTCCCAGGCTCCATCCCCAAATCTCTAGGACGGGACCTGGCATCCCTACTCCCCCATCCCCCGCGGGAGGCCGAGTGGGGACCCGGCAACCATTAGAGGGCGCTGAAGTCGATTCCCCAGGCTTACCACCTTTTGGCTTGGCCCTGGCTCTTGGGCCTGTTTTTTTCTAACAGCCATCCTGCACCTCAGAAATCAAGGCAGTGAAGCTTTTCTTTGTCAGGGTGGGAACATAGTGCGCTTCCTCCGATTCTGGGTAGCCTCTGAAACGCAGAGGAGCAGAGCCAGGATGAAAGTTGGTAACCGTCATTGATCCCTTTGCCTTATTCAGTACTGTGTGGGGGAAAGTGCCTGTCTAAATAATCAGTGCCCGGGCCTGTGCTAAATCATACGACAATGGTAACGCATAAGGATACATTTTCAGAAAACCAGTGCATTGGCCGGAGCGGCTCTGCTCTTGAATAAAGCCTCCCCCGCCAATCACACACTTCAGCCCTGAGGCCCGTGTCCTCTGAGCCGCTTTTGGCTGACGGCCAGTCCACATAGTCTGTTCACGCTCCACAGAATCCTGTGTGCTGCTGCATGGAGAACCTGGGCTCTCACGTGGTTTCATGTATGTATTTATTATGTCTCTGCCCTGCTTTCCTTCCCAAGGGGTTTATGTCTTTTTATCCTCGCCTGTGAAGTGGATTAGGCTGAGAGTGTGTGGCTGGACCAAGGTTCCCCAGTGAGCCTCTGTGGCAGAGCAGGGATTCGAACCTGAGTCTTCAACATAACACACTTACTCAACATAATAATGTGCTTCAAAATTCATAGACAGTTCAAAAGATTCTACGGCTACTCCGTTAATGCTAGAATTTACCATGTTTATAATTATTACAGCATTGCTTACAACTTATATTGTACAAGGTTGACTTTTATAGAAAAGAAGTTGTTATGCATTGTGATTATGGTTGTATGAATTTTTAAACTTCAATAAAAAAAATTTGAATTGCAAAGGGGTGTGCGTGCTTTCAGGGCAGGTACTTCTTGGCTCGGAGAGCGGGATCCAATGATCTTTTCTCTGTCAGACCCTGAGGCCGGTTATCTCCCTTGACTTTTCTGTGCATTATGAAATCTTATACAATCCCTGGCAAGAAAGTGAGTCATTGAGTGTGGCTTGTGGGTGGGTTGCCATGCTGCAGTGGTGGTGGTGGTGGGTGCTATGGAGCGAGCGAGAGAGAGAAACTGGTAATCCCTCTAAACTGAGTTAGTGTGAACTAGCTCACAACTTTTTAGCCTCCAGCTCACAGATTTTTGCCCTAGCTCAGAAGGAATGGCTTCAGAGCAAACTAATCTATGCAGTAGCCAAATCATTGCAAGTAGATAAATAGGTACCACTCCGGTGGGAAGGTAACAGCGTTCTGTGTGCCTTGGTGTTTAGTCATGCGGGCCACATGACCACGGAAACATCTTCAGACAACGCTGGCTCTTCGGCTTTGAAACAGAGATGAGCACCGCAATCCTAGAGTCGGATTTGACTGGCTTTCGAGTAAGGGAACCTTAACCTTTTTACATATAAGGCAGAGGTTGAACAGCAAATTAGCATACGATATAATGAAATGTTTTAACAGATGCAAACAGGAATAACAAGCTAGGTTTATAAGGTCATCGTTGTTTGGATTTAATTCTGGGGGGGAAACAGTGAGGCAAATAAATATGTCAAAATTAGTTGTAAAAGGTAAAGGTTCCCTTGCTCGAAAGCCAGTCGAGTCCGACTCTAGGGTTGCGGTGCTCATCTCCGTTTCAAAGCCGAAGAGCCAGCGCTGTCCAAAGACGTTTCCGTGGTTATGTGGCCAGCATGACTAAACACCAAGGATCACGGAACGCTGTTACCTTCCCACTGGAGTGGTACCTATTTATCTTCTTGCAATTTCTTGCTTTCGAACTGCTAGGTTGGCAGGAATAATTAGTTGACAGACGTGTAAATGTGTCCTTCTCAGCCCTTACATCTATATTCTCACCAGGAAGGGCTATACATCCTCTTTATTTTAGTGTATTTTAGTGTATTTCTTATTTGGAAAAGCAGATTAGAATAGTGATTGTAATGTAATGCAGTGAATCAGAATGATATATTGGAATGCATTCCTCTGGTCTCGTAACCGAGGAGACATAACACGGCACTACAGATCACCCCACCTCAAAGAAAAAGGTGTTCTTTGTTACCTCCCTGCTTGATAGGAGGCAGATGGAGCATGACAGCAGGGTCTCAGTTAATTGCTCTTGGCACCCCACAATTAAGAAGGATGCATTTACACATCGATCGCCAATTGTGACGTATTTATTTGCCTCATTGTCTCCCCACCCCCCAGAATTAAATCCAAACAATGATGGCCCTATACACTTAGCTTGCTATTCCTGTTTGCATCTGTTAAACCATCTTCATTATGTCATATGCTAATTTGCTGTCCAACCTCTGCCGTATATGTACGGACTGGCAAGTTCCATTTCACTGTGTCTGAGGAAGTGCGTGCACAAAACCCCCCCTCATATCTTGAATAAAACTTTGTTGGTCTTAAAGGTGCCATTGGACTCAAAGATTTTCAGAGTATAAGCTTTCAAGAGTCAGCACTTTCTGGAGCTGTGACTCCTGAAAGCTTATACCCTGAAGATTTTGTTGGTCTGTAAGGTGCTACTCCCTGATCTGGATAGCCTAGGCTAGCCCCGTCTCAGAAGCTAAGCAGGGTCAGCCTTAGCTAGTATTTGGATGAGAGACCACCAAGGAAACCCAGGGTCACAACGCAGAGCCCAGCAATGGCAAACCACCTCTGAACGTCTCTTGCCTGGAAAACGCTGTTGGGACCCTGACCTGGATAGCCCGGGCAAGCCTCACCAGAACTCGGAAGCTAAGCAGGGCTGACCCTGGCAAGTACCTGGCAGGGAGACCTCCAAGGAATACCAGGGCTGGGACGCAGAGGCAGGCAATACTAAGTCACCTCCCTGAAACGTCCATGCCCCAGTAGGGGTCACCAGAAGTCACCATGACTTCCAGGCACACACACACACACAAAATACAAAAAAATGAAAACATATTAAAATATATAAAGAGAGACACACACACAATACAAAAAAACGAAAACATATAAAAATATATAAAAATAAGTAAAGAAGGAAACTTCTGGGCTGCTGTAAGTCAGCTGTGACTTGACGGCAAACAAAGAAAAAGGTGCTCCTGGACTCAAATCTGGCTGTTCTACTGCAAACCAACACAGTCTTTAAAATCTTTCTGCCTAACCGGGTGATGCCTTTTCTGGTAGTGGAGCAAAGGCAGTGGGGATAGTTTCCCCCATGTAATTCCTGCACATCCGGCTTCTGTGAAAGGAATAGGATCAGGGTATTTTTGTTTCGTTTTGTTTTTTGGAAGTTGGCCGTCCTGTGGGAAATTCTCGTACCTTAAGCAAAGGCAAGACTCACTAAAGGTCCAGATTATTCAAAATCAGCGGTTCTCAACCTGTGGGTCGCGACCCCTTTGGGGGTCGAACGACCCTTTCACAGGGGTCACCTAAGACCATCGGAAAACACAGTTATGAAATAGCAATGAAAATTATTTTATGGTTGGGGGTCACCACAACATGAGGAACTGTATGAAAGGGTCACGGCATTAGGAAGGTTGAGAACCACTGCTCAAAACAAAGGCAAGTCCAGGGGCTCCTGTCCCTTCCAGTCATTCTCTAGAACAGGTTGCTGTCAAACTTTTCACTTCAAGGGAACTCTAGTTTGGTGTAGTGGTTCAGTGCGTGGACTCTAATCCGGGAGAACCGGGTTTGATTCCCCGCTCCTCCACTCGCACCTGGCTGGATGACCTTGGGCAAGCCGTAGTTCTGATAAGAGCTGTTCTTGAAAAAGAGCAGTTTCTGTCAAGAGCTCTCTCAGCCCCACCTACCTCACAGGGTGTCTGTTGGGAGGGGAAGGGAAAGGAGGTTGTAAGCCGCTCTGAGACCCCTTTGGGTAGTGAAGGGCGGGGGATCAATCCAATCTCTTCTTCTTCTTTTACCTCACAGGGAGTCTGTTGTGGGGAGGGGAAGGGAAAAGGAGTTTGTAAGCCGCTCTGAGACCCCTTTGGGTAGTGAAGGGCGGGGGATCAATCCAATCTCTTCTTCTTCTTTTACCTCACAGGGAGTCTGTTGTGGGGAGGGGAAGGGAAAAGGAGTTTGTAAGCCGCTCTGAGACCCCTTTGGGTAGTGAAGGGCGGGGGATCAATCCAATCTCTTCTTCTTCTTTTACCTCACAGGGAGTCTGTTGTGGGGAGGGGAAGGGAAAAGGAGTTTGTAAGCCGCTCTGAGACCCCTTTGGGTAGTGAAGGGCGGGGGATCAATCCAATCTCTTCTTCTCTTCTTCCTTTCCCACGGTTACTTGATGGTAGGAAGTGTCAACAGGTTGCAGTTGACTTATGGCAAACCCTTAGGATGTGCAAAACAAGAGACAGAGGTCTTTCTTGTTCGTCTCCCGTCCAAGTTCTAACCGGGGCCAGCCCTGGTTACCTTCCT